TTAATATATTAAATTAAGGACTGTGTTACTGTTGAAGTTATAACATGAACGTTTTGCCTAGTGGCTAGTGCTTTATATATACGACACCAGCTTGTTGACTTGGTTGTCAACGTTTTCAATGACAAATTAATGTTTTGGGAATTTCTAGCATACATATAATTTATTAGCTACTTAATAATACTGTTATTCTGAGATCTCGCGCGTGCACTTTTACTATAGGCTGCAGTCATTGTCCATAGGCGTACGGGACGGGGGGGCAGGGGGGCAGCTGCCCCTCCCAAAAAGATTACAAAGTGTAAAAGTCGGGCAAATGTTCAACAAAAGTCGGGCAAAAGTCGGGCAAAAAGCAGTCAAAGCAGTAAAATCTCTCTTAATAATAACACCATTTTGTTGGGCAAACAAACCAACTGGGCAATATTCGCTTCACAGTCGGGCAATATTGGGTTATTATTAAAATAAATGGGACAAATTATGTCAATTTTGGGGAAATTATGTGAATTTTTTATATTTGGTAAAATTTGTTTGACATACCTAAAAATTTTGGTATGTCCGAAAAATTTTTGGGCCCCTAAAATGGTACACTGACCGAAATTTTTTTTGCGATGGGGGGGGGGGCAATAAATTGTTCCGGAAAAAAAATTTCGGTACTGGTCGGGCAAATCCGAAAAAGTCGGGCAAATTTCTTTCTGCCCCCCTAAATTTTTCCTTCCCGTACGCCTATGTCATTGTCATATACAAAGTTCCACGAGAATTCGTATTGTATATAATATATACGGATGAACTTCATAATTCCTCTAAATTCTTACATGGCGCCGTTTCATACAATTGCAAGCCAAATAACCATGCATATGCAAACATATTATTCAAATAATAAAAAAGATAGCAAAGTTAAATATTGATTATTGTTCAACTAAATTTAGAATAGAGTCACAGGTACATAGTAGGGCAGAATTATATTGAAAACGAAACTGAAATATAGTACATGCGGCAAAAGCCTCGAGCGAAACTTCGTTTGCACGTTTACAAACAAGCAATACTCATGCATTTGATA